GGGCACCCACCTGCCACATTGCTCTCTACAGTAGAGTCTCTATCATCCAACATATTCGGTAATCCGAGCATGTGTCAGTCCCATTTAGGTCAGATGACAGGGACTCTACTGTACCTGCAAAACACCATCTTGTGTTGTGAAGAAGTATTCATAGCCTCACTTTACAAATGAGGAATTGAGGCATGACAGTGCTTCTATGTCTTTTCTAAGAACCAAAAAACATTCGGTGGCAAAGGAAGGAATATATCTCATGTATCTTAACAACTAGTTCTGAGCTTTACCTTCCATGATCCTTTCCCATATGTCTAGAAACACATTAGTTTGTAGTTTGTTGCATTACTTTTGATTAAATATATCAATCCAAAAAATCAAAGGTGTTAACATGATCCTGTTACTATCCAATGTAAAAGGGTGTTTGGGATGTAGTATACAGAGACGTTAGCCTGCTTTGTGCCATGGCAAATACACCACAAATTATAGTTAACCTTTTATTAAATATACTAGCAGATTTACCCAGCATTGCCCAAGTCCTTCAGGACAGGGCCTTAGGGATCTGGTGGGGGAGTGCAGGAGGCTGGAGTCCGGGGGCCTGCTCTCTTCCCCCAGACTGTTCCCCGCCCCCCGAGACCACACAGGACCTGTTCTTGCACCCCAAACCACCTCCCAGCCCACCTGGGGGTTTGTTCTTTCCCTCCCCCTCAGGTCACTCCTCCAGCCTGCCCAAGACCTGTTCTTTCCCCTCCCTCAGGCCACCTCCACAGCCTGCCTGGTACATGCCTCCCGCCCCTGCCCCCTCCTGCAACAACCTCCTGAGCCCACCTGCGACCTCTTCTCTCCCTCTAGACCACCTCCCAACACCTGTTCTCTCTCCCCCCAGGCCATCCCCCAGCCTCCATGGTCCTGTTCTCCCCCCCTCCAGCACTGTGGCCAAGGGCAGGAAGCGGGAGAAAGGGTTTGAAGCAGGAGGGTTATTCATTTGGTGTGCTGGCAAGCAAGGTGGCGGAGCCCCAGCTCTGCTGGTCACTCCCTTGGTGGTAGAGCTGCCCTCAGGGAACACTCTGCAGGAGAGCTATCCCCTGTGGACTCGCTGCTCCTGTGGCAACTCTCATATCATATCCCTTGAAACAGCAGCCCCTCCCTTTGCATGGTATGGAAAACTGTCCTTTTCCTGGGGCTTCTGGTTGCCTTGGCACATCCAAATTCCAACCTTGCTTTAAGTTAGGAGAAAAGGAAGCTGCCTAACAAATTTGGTGTCCCTAGCTCTTACTGTTTAGGGGGAGTTCTTGAACAAACGGACTCTCAGACAGACACACAGACAGACGGATGGACTCTAATAGATATATAGATTGAAAAAGAAGGAAAAGCAATTAAAGCATTTGCAATACAAAGTGTTAACTAACACTTTCATTTTGATAATATTCTTTGTTTCCTTTCCCCTCCAGTGAGCGTCTGTTCAATAAGAAAGCCCATCTCAATCCCCCTTCTCCCAGTTTTGGAGAAAAGAGAAGTTAGTGGAGATAGGCTGGAGCTGTTCTTGAGGCTGTTGTTAAAATCCAGTCCTGTTGGAAGATAAAATATGACAAACACAAAAAAGTGGGGACAGCAAAGATAGAAAATGCAGCTTCTGACTTGAGTAAATAAATAAAGAAAACACTGCATTTGGATCAGAAGCTTGTTTTATCCCTATTAAAAGTGGGCAGATTTAGGCACAATAAAGAACTACATTAAAGTGACATTCAGCTGCATGTATTTTGCTTTTATCTACTACATTAAATGCTATGTGTGCAATAAGCTTGGCCTATCCTGGCTTTGAAGCATGTGACAGCCTAATGCCTATTGGTGCAGAAACCCCCTACAGAGCAGCTCTGAGCTTCTTTAGTAAGTTCTTAATGAAGAATGAAATCCCTATTCTAGTGTTTGCAAAGTACAGCTCATTTGTTTCTTGTGTTTTGTCTCACAGGACACACAGGTGCTAAAATCACCCAAACATCAAGCCTGGTACTGAACAGAGAAGAGGCAGCCAAACTGACATGCAACCAAACTGATAATCACAGCTATATGTACTGGTATCTGCAGCAGCAGGGGAAGGAGTTGCAGCTGATTTATTACTCCCTTGGTACAGACATGACAAAAGAGGGTGACAGTAAAATAAAAGGATTCTCAGCCTCCCGGCCAGAGACTGCAGCTTTTGACTTGAACATCTCCTCTGTGAAGCCGGAGCACTCAGCTGTGTATTTCTGCGCTAGCAGTTTAGACACAGCACTTCAGAGTCACCTGCTCCCTCTACAAAAACCTCTGATCTCCCCTCCCTGATGCCTCCTTAAAGGCTATGTCGACACAGCAGCGTTATTTCAGAATAAGCTATTCCAGAAGAGGATTTCCGGAATAGCTGATTTCAAAATAGTGCATCCACACTGATTGGATGCTGAATCGCATTTAAGGCCTCCCGGAACCAGTTCAGGCAGGGCATCAGGTCAGTAGTTTCTTCGTGTGCTGCTTGAAGCTATCTGAGGCTCATGCTTAAAGGGAC